GTTGCTGCTGCTGCTGCTGCTGCTGCTGCTGCTGCTGCTGCTGCTGCTGCTGCTGCTGCTGCGCTTGCTGTCACACTGCAGCGGCAGCGGCCCAAACGAACTCGCCAAACTTCTCTGCCGCTTCCTCTCCTTTTGACTTTTATTTCTTTTATTTGACTTTTATTTTATTCTTTTGCTTTTATTTGCTTTTATTTTCAAACATTAATCCATTCAAAACCCTAATTCCAGCAGCAGCAGCAGAAGCAGCTGCACAGCAGCAGCAGCAGCAGCAGCAGCAGCAGCAGCAGCAGCAGCAGCAGCAGCTAGCCAACCCGCTAAACCTCCTAAACAGCCCACGGGCCGCCACTTGCACTCCCAGCTTGGCCAGCTAGCTAGCCAGTCAACAACTTAATAACAAGCTGGCCAGCTAGCTAGCCAGCTAGCTAGCTAGCTAGCTAGCTAGCTAGCTAGAGGTGTGGGAGCTTCCCCAGCTAGCCATACTTTAAAAGCAGCCTATTTGGCTAGCTAGCCGCTAGCTAGCTAAGTGTTTAGCTAGCTAGCCCCAAACCCTAAACCCTAATTATTAACCAAATAGCTAGCTAGCTAGCTAGCTAGCCAGCTCTTTAGTTAATTAGGGTTTAGGGTTTAGGGTTTAGGGTTTAGGGTTTAGCAGCTAGCTAGCTAGCAGCGCAAAAAGCAAAAAGAAAGAAACAATCAAAGAAACGAAAAAGCTAATTAAAGGGTTTTAAAAATAAAATAATTCAACAGGGCAAAGAAACCTCGCAAGGATGAATGAGGGTTTAGGGTTTAGGGTTTAGGGTTTAGGGTTTAGGGTTTTGGGATTAGGGCTTAGGGTTTAGGGTATTACGCAGAGTTTAGGGTTTAGGGTTTCGTAACTTGTGTGAACGGCCCACTGTTTAGGGTTTATAATTTAGACATCAGGATTTTAGGGTTTAGGGTTTAGGGTTTAGGGTTTGGGGTTTAGTGTTTAAGGTTTAGGGTTTAGGGTTAAGGGACTTGTTTCTTGCAACGTTGTTTCAAATGTCAGAGCCCCCAAAGCAAATGAACAATAGCTTAAACCCTAAACCCTAAACCCTAAACCCTAAACCCTAAACCCTAAACCGCCCTTGCGAGGATCTCTGGCTCTCTTTAAATGTTTTATTTTTAAATAATTAAATTTGCTTTTCTGTTTCCTTCTTGGTCTCTTGCTTTTTGGCCACAAACCCTAAACCCTAGACCCTAAACCCTAAACCCTAAACCCTAAACCCTAAAGTCTAAACTCTAAACCCATAGCTCTCAAATCCTGAACATCAAGCCGTGATTTTTTAAACCCTTGCTCCCAGACCGCCCTATAATCCCAATACTGCCTCGGGCGGTTTACGTTCGCGTCCGCGTAGTACCGCGCCACGTTTGGCTGCGCTGTCTTCCAAACTGCCCCTCGTGAAGCGCCACCTGGAGGCCTTCGCAGTCACTATTCTCGCAGTGGTCTAAACCCTAAACCCTAAACCCTAAACCCTAAACCCTAAACCCTAAACCCTAAACCCTAAACCCCAAACCTTAAACCCTAAACCCCAAACCCTAAACCCTAAACCCTAAACCCTAAACCCTAAACCCTAAACCCTAAACCCCAAGTACTAAACGCTAAATCATACACCGTGCATGCTACGCAACAAACACTACACCCCAAACCCTAATCTTAAACCCTAAACCCTAAACCCTAAACCGTCTCACCTCTAAACCTCAGAGGCGGAGCCGTAGACCCTAAACCCTAAACCCTAAACCCTAAACCATAAACCCTAAAGCCTGGAACCGAAACTTTACATTGTGAACAAAACGCATTAAACGCTTTGTTATAAACTCTAACCCTAGACCCTAAACCCTAAACCCTAAACCCTAAACCCTAAACTCGCTTGAAAGCCTGCGGCGCCCCTTCAGCTTCAGAGTTTTAGGGTTTAGGGTTTAGGGTTTAGGGTTTAGAGTTTATTAAAAAACAAAATAAAAAATAAAAATAAAAAATTTATTTTATTTTCTTTCGCTTTTGTCTACTGTGTATCTACAGTGAGCAGCCGAACGCAGGCGGGGCTGAGCTCTCTAGGGTTTAGGGTTTAGGGTTTAGGGTTTAGGGTTTAGGAGGAATTAAATATTTTCTTTTGCAGGAAAGTGTTGTTTTTTGGAGTCAAAGGCTTGCGCTGCTCGTTCTGGGGTTTAGGGTTTAGGGTTTAGGGTTTAGGGTTTAGGGTTTAGGCTCCGTCTCAAGAGCGCCTTTCTCTTTCTGTCTTTTCTCCTAAACCCTAATTCCTTCTTCAATCCTTTTCCAAACAGCCCCAGCCCCGCAGCTCAAACCCTAAACCCTAGCTCCCAAACCCTAAACCCCAAACCCTAAACCCTAAACCCTAATTTCCACGCAGAGACAAACCCTCGTCAACAATGGCAAGACCCCCCAACCAGGTCTTTTCTCTCAAACAACAAAATAATAAATTATTTCATTTTAATTTAATTCTTCTTTTCTTTTCATTTCCAATTTCTTTTCCAATTCAATTCCATTTCTTCCAAACAAACCCAAACCCTCAGGGGCCCCCAAACCCTCAGGGGCCCCCAAACCCTCAGCGGCCCCTGGGGGCCCCCGGGGGGCCCCCAGGGGCCCCCGGGGGCCCCTGGGGGCCCCCGGGCTCTTGAGGGTATCTCAGGGCCCCCTAGGGGCCCCCTGGGGGCCTCCCGGGGGCCCCTGGGGGCCCCTGGGGGCCCCAGAGGCCCCTTGGGGGCCCCTGGGGGGCCCCTAAACTCCTTAGGGGGGCCCCCGGGGCCCCTGGAGGCCCTTGGGGGGCCCCTAAGACTCATCAAGGGGCCCCCAGGGGCCCCGAGAGGCCCCCAGGGGGCCCCCCGAGGGTCAGCTAGAGGCCCCTAGGGGTCTGTGGGGGCCTGAGGGTTTGAGGGGGCCCTTAGAGGCTCTTAAAGGTTCCTGATTTGTTCTTTAGGGTTTAGGGTTTAGGGTTTAGGGTTTAGGGTTTAGGGTTTGGGGTTTGTGGTTTTCCGTATCAGAACTGGAATAAGCCGCTGGCGGCTGTGATGGACTTGATATTGAATTGCAACATAAAGTTTAAACATGCTGCAGAGGTAACCCAAACCCTAAACCCCAAACCCTAAACCCTAAACCCTAAACCCTAAACCCTAAACCCTAACCCCTAAACCCCAAACCCTTCTTCAACTCCCAGAGCCTTCCGCCCGCTCCCCTCAGCAGCAAACCCCCATCAACAGCTCCCCCACCCCCCCCAACCCCCAAACCCTAAACCCTAAACCCCAAACCCTAAACCCTAAACCCTAAACCCTAAATCAGGGTTTTGCTGCAGGTGGGGCGGCGTTCGGTGG